AAAGCAGGTCTCATGGTAATGAACTCCCTTAGCTTTTTTTCTGGGAAAGTTTTTATGCCTCATTTCTGAATTACAGTTTTGTGGATATTCTTGGTTGTCAGTTTTTTTTCTTTAGCACTTCAAATATATCATCTTTAGCACTTTGAATATATGTCTCCTAGCCTGTAGAGTTTCTGCTGAGAAATCCACTGATAGTTGTATTGGCACTCCTTTTTATGTGATGTGTTTCTTATCTTTTGCTGTTCTCAGAATTTTTTGTCTTTGATTTTTGGTGGTTTGAGTATTATGTGTCTTGGTGAACTCTTCTTTGAATTGAATTTGATTGAACATCTCTGTGTTTCCTATACCTGGATATTGGCATCTATCCCCGATTAGGGAAGTCTTTAGCCAATGTGTCTTTAAATACGTGTTCTTGCCCTTTATTATGCAAAAGTGTTTGTTTGTTTGTTTGTTTGTTTGTTTAGACAATCTCGCTCTGTCGCCCAGATCCGAGTGCAGTGGTGCAATCTTGGCTCACTGCAAGCTCCACCTCCGGGATTCACACCGTTCTCCTGCCTCAGCCTCCCAAGTAGCTGGGACTACAGGCACCCACCACCATGCCCCAGTAATTTTTTTGTATTTTTAGTAGAGACAGGGTTTCGCCATGTTAGCCAGGATGGTCTCGATCTCCTGACCTCATGATCCAGCCGCCTTGGCCTCCCAAAGTGCTGGGATTACAGGTATGTGCCACTGTACCTGGCCAGGTTTGATCTTTTGATGGTGTCCATAGTTCCTGTAGGTTTTCTTCATTCTTTTTCAGTCTTTTGTCTTCTTGTTCCTCTGACTAGATAATTCAAATTTTCTATTTGTTGGCCCATTGATTTCATCAGAAGAAAGATCGAGTCTGTTGTTAATAATTTTTACTGAATTTTTCAGTCCAGTGATTGTATTCTTCATCTCTAGGATTCCTACTTGATTCTTTTTAATGTTTTTCTTTTATTGTTGAGCTTCTTACTTTGTGTATTGTTTTGCCAAATGTCATTAAATGTTATATTTGTATACTCTTGTGTTGACCTTTTAGAGGATTATTTTGAATTCTTTGTCAGTAATTTCATAGATCTTCTTTTCTTTGGGGTCTATCATTGGCACTTTATTAGTTTCTTTTGGAGGTGTTATGATTCCTTGATTTTTTGTAATCCTTGTGTTCTTGTATTGTTATCTGCACATTTGCAAGACAGCCCCTCTTCTGTCCTTTAAAGTTGTTTTGAGGCAGGGATAAATCTTCGCTATTTAGTGCAGCCTGTGATTCTGGAAGGACCAGCTGGTGATGACCCCTGGCAGGCAGAGCTTGTTGTGGGTTCTCTAGTTGGTTGAGATGTTGCCTTTGCTCTGATATCATCTGATGTCAACATCTGGTATCAGATACTGGCTGGCTTGCACTATCTGATGAGACCACTGGCTGGGCTCTGGTATCAGGCATTACTGTGATGGCTTCTGGTCAGGCCAGTCACAGTGTATTCTTTTAATGAACAATTTCACTATTTGGGTTCTTTAGTTGGACAGGACCATAAGCTGGGCTCTGAGTTTAAGCAGAGTTGCTACTCATGATAGGGCGGACTAAGGGCAATGCTCCTTAGAAATGCATGATTGAGGATTGTTTCCCTGTAAGGGTGAATCCATGGGATGGGCTTTTGGTAGGGTATGACTGCTGCTTGACTTACATAGTCAAGCTGGTTTTGTCCCTTTGCTTCTTTGAAATGGGTAGAGGTAGGCATCTCCCTGCCTGGTTGGGGTCACTGGGAGCCTCTGAGGCTGGGCGTGAAGACTAGTTGTCTTGGGACCCAAGCTAGGTCCCCCTGTGTTTCTGAAGGTGACTAGCTTAGCACCGTGGGCTATGAAGTTCGCTAGTATCTTTGATTGGGTGCCACAGCGGGCAGGAACACAGAGGTATCACCAAGATTCATGGTGCTCGTACTATGATCACTGCCTCCTTTCTTTGTTTCTACCTGACTCCAGTGGTCAAACCATGCCATTTTCCTTATTTTCTCTGTGAGATGAGACTGGAGTGGGCTTCCTGAGAAGAATCTCAAAATGCTAGGGAAGCTGGATGACTGTTTCTGGTCCTCTTTTCCCTGGTAGAAACCCTGGGCCTAGGGAAATCATTTGTCTAGTGTTGTGTTGACTTGGGGAGAGGCTGGTGGTGTGGTCAAAGGAAGTCAAGTCTTCTTATTCTTCTATTCAGTTTTCATTCAGTTCTTTGGATCACACAGACATCTCAGGCTTGTTTGTAAGTATTGGAGTTTACAAAAAGATGTTCTGGTCTGTGTATAGTTCCTCGTTGAAGTTTCTTGGAGGGGAACTGGAGCATGAGATTTCCTTTTCCACCATCTTGCTGATTTCATGCTTAAGAAATTTATTTTGAAATGAAAACTTACAATTGCCGTAAATGGAAAATGAGTAGATTACAAGTAAGCATAAAATAAACAAATTGAAAACAAATGAGTATTATTAAATTCTCGCTAATTATTATACAGATACTCCTCAATTTACAATGGGGTTATGTCCTGATAAACCCATCATAAGTTAAAAATATCGTAAGTTAAAATGCTTTTAATACTCTAAGAAACCCATTGTAAAGTTGAGAAATTGTAAGCAAACTGTTTTAAGTTGGGGATTGTCTGTATTGTCTGATGAAGGTGAGCCCGAGGTTTATACTCTGATTTTTTTCTGTAAGAAGTTGCCAGTATTGAGGTATTTTGGCACAAAATTGATATGTTATCAATGATATAATCAGAGGATTGAAAGAAAATTGGAACAGGAATAATTTCCTCACACTGTAATTTAGTGTTATTTAACTATTTTCACATATGCACCATATATACTCTACTCATTGGGAAATTCCTGCAGAATTAATTTGAAATCCTTTTTGTGGCATCTTTCATGATCTCTCCTTTGCCTGCCTTATCTTCTACATTTTTCCCTTGCATTTTCTCTTTAGCAAATTGGATAAAGGATTATTACGATGATTAAATGAGTTCATTCATATAAAACGCTTAGAAGTGCTCAATAAATATTAGCTGTTACTATCATCACTATTATTATTATTATGTTTTTCTAATTAGCATATATTCTGCCTCTTTGCAAACACTGTCACCTATTCCTGGAACATCCTGTCCCATTTATTTGTACAGCTATTTTTCTCTATAAGTCTCAGCTCAAGCACTCTTCCTCTGTGAAGGCTCTCCTGAATCTCCACAAACCTCACTGCTCCTTGAATACATTCCCTTATGTCAGCTAACACATTGTCTTTGGTTATATGCATGGTTTCTACTGGTCTGTAACTTCCTTCAGGGCAGAGACTGTATCTTCTTGTCTTTTAATCCCTAGCACCTCACCTAGTCAGACAGTGGCAGTTGCTTACAGTATTTATTTTTTAATTCAATTAAAATGTATTAAGGGCTTATATATGCCATACTTTATGCTGGATATTGATGGTCCAAAGATGAAAAAGACATGGTCTAGAGGTAGAAGTTTACTGAAAATTGATTTGCATTACAAATATTAATTTTTTATTTAAAAAAGCATAAGGCTCCAGTGGGACTTGAACATACACTCTCACTTTATAAGGCTAAGTGTCAGACCATTATGCTGAGAGACACACTAGAATTCTACATAATTTTTTTCTCAGTTAACAGATTTTTTAGGTCTCCAATGGCAAAGGCTGTGTATCTGAGTGTTATCCCTTTCAGGTACTTGGCATTAATAGTTTATCTCAGGTAAATAATTACTAATAAGATTCATAATTATTTGAAATGGCATTGTGGCTGCTTAATCTACTATTGCACAAATAAAAATCACTTAATATACATAGCCTGTAGCTGTGACTGAAAAGCTAGGATAATGGATGCTGATGGAAATCATAATTAGCATGAGTGAAATGTGTACATGTTAACATGGTATAGTGGCTTTACTTATGATACATCTGTGCAATGAGTTTCTTCTTTTTTGTAGATCATTTTTAAGTCTGGAGATACCAACGATGATTTAGGATTGGACTTTGGAGAATTTATGCGGTATCTTCAAGACCATGAGAAGAAAATGAGGCTGGCATTTAATAGTCTGGACAAAAATAATGATGGTATGTATGTTTTTTAAACTACAGTTAACTTAATATGAATATAACTATCAGTCTAAAGGGTACTTTTAATAGCCTTTAATTTACTCTTACTATCAAAGATTTGGTTATTTCTACTAGTTGTTTGGCACTAATTTTTAAATTTCTAAGAATAATACATAAACTATGTATATTAGTACTATAATTCCTATGTGGTTACCATCTTTTTAATAAAATAATTTTTGAGAAGCCTGTGACTTCTAAATTTAAAATTTCTTTGCCTAGTGAGTAGTGTTTTCCATTTTTTTGCAATATATGAGCTAAAAGTATTATGATAATTAAAAAATGACATTTGTTATTTTTGTGATGACTATAAAAATGTATTGGTTGCAGGAAAGTTAGAAAACACGAAAAGGTCCTGAAAGAAAGTAAAGGTTACTTATAACCCTGCTATCTAGAGACCAATTTTAACATTTTGATACATTTTAATGTTTCCTTCTAGACTTTTTTCTCTGTTTCTTTCTGCCTGCCTTTCTCTTTAAATGAAATTGCAGTCAAACTGTATGTATAGTTTGGTATCTTCCTTTTTTCTTTTAATGCTATATTGTAAGCATTTTCACTTTATTTAATATTCTTCCCTCTGGTCCTTTCAGGCATTATTCTTCCTCTTGGGACTCTCCCGGTTCATCACATGTTTATATGTGTTAAACAGTAATAGTAGAGAAGATTCTTTTTTTTTTTTTTTTTTTTTTTTTTTTTG